AAGTGTATTTTGAAGTTTTCAAAAAAACGATAACAAATAGTTGTTTAGATGTAATTTACTATAAATAAATACGTCTCTTTTTCTGAATACCGTCTTCAATGTAAATAAAATCCGTCACTCAGAATTTCAGCTTTTTGGACCCCTCCCTCCTTCGTCACGCTTTTAGCGACCCCCCTAACAAATATTACGTCACAAAAGCTGCCCCCCCTATAAATAATTCATCATCATCATAAGGTCGTCAGTCCTAAGACTTAGTTGGACACCTCCACTCTTTCCTAACCTGAGTTAAACTTCGCATTTCCCTAAAACTAGAACAGCCCACATCCTTAACTATTTACGAACAGTAATCTAATCTAGGTCTACCTCTACCCCTCCTAACCCCTGTTTCTGCCTCTAATATGTCTCTGACTAGACTTTCATGCCGGAAAAGGTGTCCTACCAACCTATCTCGCCTATTTTTTATTGACTTCCTCTGTTTTCCTATTCTTTTTTATACCTCTTCATTTCTAACCTTTTCTACCCGCCCACCGTCTATGTTTCGCACCCGTACAATGCCGTGCTGCTCCACACATACACCTTTAACAACCTTTTTCGAAAATATAAATGATTACTTATAATTAAAAATAGCAATGATGACATGCTAACGTTACATTTTCTTAGACCACCTCCCCCCTTGTCGTCCCTCATCAAGCTAAACATAACCCCTCCCTCTGCCTTATTTGAGAACGTATTTTATGTACGATCCTTAGATACATATATCCTTTTTAATTGAGGATAATACATTTTGCAAGGGTAGTAAAGGCAAAAAAGTAATTATGTATTATAAAAATTACTTGTAAACAAAAAGGGGTAGAAATACGTTCTGGTGGTGTGACAAGAGTGTAAGTGAACGGGAGGGCAAATGTAAGTGCAATTTTTTTTTCGACATTATAAGTAAGGGAGACTAATAAGGGTAAAGGTAATAATATTTAACGATGAGGTAGAAGTAGAAACACCCATCGTTTTTTGCGCATACGTATCGCGCCTAGATGTCATGGTTCATCCATGCACATGAAAACTTTCATTACATGATATTAAAACGCAAAATGACCACAATTTTTATTGGAGATAAACCAAACGCCTTGGGAATAAAATTCAGTGTGTTACGACCTCTTTTCCCTACGTGTGTGTTGATGATTCCAAATTTTGAATAGCATGTCATATTTTACATGTCAAAATTTCAGTAACCTTTCTCACTGTGCTTGTCTCATTCACTTATTTTATCATTTCCCATAAGAAGTATGAGTGTTTTTAGTGCAAACGAAGTATGCTGTTTATTTTGTTGTCCCCCGTGGCCCAGTAAGATAGTGGCCAAGTTGGCGTTCGTGCCGCCCCGTCCTACGTACAACTTCCAAACTTCTTCCTCCGACTCCTATTACATGGTTCCAAACGACGACTCGGACTACAATATTTTTTGCGACGTGGACGAACAAATGATCGACTGTTTTTACACCAGAACCAAGCGACATAATTTAATAGCTTGCATGTACATAAGATGCGTTTCGAAACCCAAGTATATCATTCTGTACTCCCACGGGAACGCTGTGGATTTAGGACAGATGTGTAACTTCTACGTGGGACTAGGTACCAGAGTAAACTGTAACATATTCAGTTACGATTACTCCGGATATGGGATGAGCACTGGCAAACCGTCGGAGAAGAACTTATACGCTGATATTGAAGCTGCTCTACACGCATTAAAACTTCGATACGGTATAAGACCAGAGAATGTTATATTGTATGGTCAAAGTATTGGTACCGCTCCCACCGTAGATCTGGCTTCGAAATACGAAGTTGGGGGGGTTGTGTTGCACTCGCCCCTCATGTCGGGGGTGCGGGTTGCGTTCCCGAATACCAGGAGAACTTGGTTCTTTGACGCATTTACCAACATCGAAAAGATCAGTAAAGTTTCATCTCCAGTTTTGATTATTCATGGTACCGATGATGAGATTATTGACTTTAATCACGGTCTGCTGCTTTATGAGAAATGCAAGAAGGCCGTGGAACCCCTTTGGGTGGAAGGGGCGGGCCATAACGATATTGAACAACACAACGTCTATTTGGAAAGGTTAAAAAAGTTTTTGCAAAAAGATTTGGCTCACGCCAATCATGTCAATCGGACTAGCAAATAGAAAATGAAATACGTATTTCATTGGTTGTTTCGTGGCGCTTTACCTCCTGATGTCCTTTTGGTGAAACGATATAACCGAATTTCAATAAATAAAAACAAATGAGCTTGTTTATTTTTAAATACTTTTATTGTAAAAAAGGACGATTTTTAAATGTTAATTTTTTCAGAGAAATATTCTTGTTTTATTATAGTGACGTTAGGAGTTTATAAGGTGTAGGTAATAAAGCCGTTTTAGTGCTCAAACCACTTGTTTTGAACGTTTTCTAATGTAAAGTGACTCTTTCATCTATTTAAAGTAAATAATAAATATGTAAAGATTTTGGATACAAAAAAAAAAATCGTTTTCGTTAGGTTATTTTACTAGCATCCCTTAATTGCACTTGGTGCGGTGTTGCCATTAAATTTGATTTGATGATATGCTCGAAAATACAAAGTCTTGCATTAGCAATAGAATTAATACTGATTTCTAGTACTTGTACCCCCCGCCGGGGGTGTACTTTTGGCCGTCTTCGAATCGATTTGGTGGCTTGGGGTAGTCGTATCCCCCGCCAGGCGTATAGGGTTGTCCCGTACTGGTAGGCGGGGTGGGTCTAGCCGGTGGGAGGTATGTCGGGGGTCTCGCAGGAGGTCCAGTCGGATATGCCGGAGGTCGCGTTGATGGCCTCGCTGGAGGCCTGGTTGGGAACTGAGGACCTGAAATGTTACGTCAGTTGTATTTGTCAAAATATTATGACAGTCGTTTATGATGGTCTCGTCTAATACTTCAGTTTGCTGTTTGTTTTGTTGTCCTCCTTGTCCGTGTAAGATAGTGGCGAAAATGGCATTTATACCCCCCGAGCCCACGTATAAATTCCGATGGGATTCCTACGCCGATTTGTACAGACTGGCCCATAACCCAGAGTCGAGTTATAAACTTTCTTGTCTTTTTAATCCAAAAAAAATGGACTGTTTTTACGCGAGGACGAAAAGGAAGAATATGATTGCATGCATTTACATAAAGTACACTTCGGCGAGCCGGTATACCATCCTGTATTCCCACGGGAATTGTATAGATTTAGGCCAGTTGTGCGGGTTCCAATTCACTTTGGCCAGTAGGATTAATTGTAACGTGTTAATTTACGATTATTCCGGTTATGGCATGAGTACCGGCAAGCCGTCTGAAAAGAACATTTACGCTGACATCGAGGCAGCTTTGAGGGCTTTGGAGAACCGTTACGGGATATGTCCGAGGGATGTGATTCTGTACGGGTTTAGTCTCGGTACGGCTCCTTCTGTGAATCTAGCTGCTAAATGTGACGTTGCGGGTGTCATTTTGCACTCTCCCCCCATGTCGGGAATCAGAGTATTTTATCCGAAGAAACGGAGAACGTGCTGTTTCGATCCGTTCACAAACGTCGATAAGATTGGTAAAGTGACTTCGCCAGTTTTGGTGATTCATGGGACAGAAGATGAAGTTATTGGAATTTGCCATGGGAAAACCCTTTATAAGAAATGCCAGAACCCTGTGGAGCCCTTATGGGTCGAAGGAGCCGGGCATAACGGGATCGAGCAGTCTAGTGTTTTTTGGGACCGACTGAAGAAGTTTCTTTACAAGGATTTGGTTTGTTTTAACCAGAACTATGAGTTCTAACACTGGAACGTTGAGATAAAAAGGGTTTTGGACCTCTGCAGTTAACAATTTTGAGTCGTATTAGTCGCTACAGTTGTTTAAATAATAAAAATAATACGCTTAAATACGTGCCTGTTGGTTTTGGGTAATCATAACCACCGGTGGTAGGAGTGTAGCGTTGAGTTGGCGGTGGACCTATGAACAATTACAACAAATAATATAATTAATTAATTTTTAATGGAAAACATTTTGTCGTTGCTTTGAGCATAAATCTGAAAATAAAAAATTAAAAATACGACTTTTGGTTACATCGTTTTCTACCACCGAAAAGAAGAACCCCTACGAATTTTACTAAACTAGCGTTGAAAACGAGAAATAATAAAAATATTGCGAAGCTATCGTTTTGTTTTACCTCGTGGTGTTGACGGTCGACTAGGGGGTGGGGAGGGGGGCCTGCTAGAGGGATATCCGGGTCTATATCCTGGACAATTAAAATCAGTTTTGTGAGCTATTTCAAATTGCAAAAATGAAGAAAATTGTGTAAGATTTCCGACAAAGAAGAGAGAGTAAAGAAAAGATGTAGAAAATAGAATTTGCACATTTTTGTTTATTATTACCTCCTGGTATTGACGGTCGGTCAGGTGGAGGTGAAGGGGGCCTGCTAGAAGGGTATCCAGGTGTGTAGCCTAAAGAATAAATACCAGGCGGTAAAAGAATTCGGCATACCTTAAATCTATTTAATTATAGATTGGCTGCTAATATGGGATTTATAATTTTATATACCTCCTGGTTGTGATGGCCGACTTGGTATGCTCGGTCTACCAGTTGGATATCCAGGACCGGGTCCTAAAGAAATTTTATTTGAAATTACAATGATATTATGCAAGAAGAGGAACTGAAAAACCCATAAAAGATCCCACAGAAAAGTTTACGTATGTAATTCGCCTGAGGAAGGAATAAAAATGAAGAAGAAAATAATATTTGGTAAAGGTTTTGTGAAAAATGGTTCCAGAAAGAGATGCATTTGTAAAAAGAAATTGTTTGGTGTTGCGTATGGACAGGGTTATTATCACCTAGGGTGTAGGGTTGTATCGAGGATGCAAATGTTATAGTTTACTAATTTGAAGATAACAGTGAAAGAGAAGTAGAACAGTAAACCACAGAAGACCTCAAGGTTTATTTTTGATCATATATGTATTAATATTTTGTGAAAAAAATTAGAAAATAGTTGATATTATTGTTAATCTCCTGGATTGAAGGGTAGTCCAGGAGATGTTGGTCCTTCTGAAAAACCAGGCCCGGGTCTTTTATGTTAATGCCTACTAAATGTAATAGTGCAAAAGAAATAGGACAGTAAACCACAGAACTAGTTTCATTTTCCAAAGAAAAAGCAAAGATAAATCGAAAAAAAGGAACAGTAAAGTTCAAATGTTGAAAAAGGTTATTTTGTAAAGAGAAAGTGTTGGCTATTAAGCACAGATAAATTACCTCCTGGGGTATAGGGTCGTCCCGGAGATGTTGGTCTTCCTGGATATCCAGGACCGGGCCCTAAATTATAGTAATATTCTTTAAGCTACTGTCTTGTAAAGAAGGAAAAGTTTGAAGTGAAATGTGCTTTTAAGAATGTTACAATACCTCCTGGGGTAAAAGGTCGCCCTGGGGATGGTGCAGACGGTACACCCGGATAGCCAGGACTGGGTCCTAATAAATAAATATTTATTTGTAATATGCCGTTCGAAATGAGCAATAAAAAAGTAAAATTGAAAAGAGGAATTCAATTAATAAATGAATTAGATCAGTACCTCCTGGAATAAATGGGCGACCAGGGGGGCCTGTTGGTATCGATGGTACTCCTGGATAACCCGGACTAGGGCCTAAATAAAGATTTACTTTTTGTTTAAATAAAGTTAAACAAATAATTGACTTATAAAAGTGAAGTAAAAAGAAGGTATTATAATAGTAATAATTATAACAATTCAGAGGGGGTTGCTTATATCTACCTCCTGGGGTGAATGGACGTCCTGGTGGTTGTGATGGTATAGATGGTCTGCCAGGTGTACCACCGGGATATCCTGGACGCAGACCTATGACCCATTATGACAATTTCAATTCCTAGTTGTTTGTTAAAAGATACAAAATCACACTTTTTAACCCTTTGAAAAAGGGTTGATTTATACTTTGAAATCTATTGAAGTGTGTCGTTACTTGGTACATAACAGGTCAATAGAAAAGTCCCCGGCCTAAAATAGTAAAACACATTTTTTTTTTGCAAAATTCGTTTTTTTATTATTCAACATAATTCCCTTCAAGGGTGATACACTGATTATAGCGATCCTCCAACTTTTCGATACCATTTTTGTAGTACGATTTGTCCTTTGCTTCAAAATAGGCCTCAGTTTCGGCGATCACCTCTTCATTCGACGAAAATTTTCCCNCTTTACTTTTCGGAATCCGATTGACAGAAAGATGTTTAATTAATAAGGAATAGAGAAACGGGAGCAGTATTTTTTTCTGGATAAGTTACCCTATGTCCTTTTCTGTACCCTTAGCAATGTGGGTACAAAACTTCATAATAGGTTCTAAGCTGGGCTTCGCTTTTGTTGATGCCCCAAGTAAGTGTCAATGATCATCAACGACCACATAAAACTAATTTTTCTATCCCTTGGGAACAGCATTGTTTTTCTGGATAAAAGGTACCCTATGTCCTTTTCTGTACCCTTGACAATGTTTGTACAAAATTTCATGACGATCGGTTTAATAGTTATGGCTTGAAATAGTAACAAACAAACTTGCATTCACATTTATAATATTAGTTAGGATATTAATATTTAGATAGCGGGTAACGCGATATTTTTTCAGAAAGATTAATGTCGTTGTTGTTTTAATTATATTTTTTTCTGACTAACTATAATGAATAGAATGTTCTTGAAGCTGCTTTGGTATTCATGAGAGTTCTTGAAGTCTATTGTGTTCCAGTCCATTAAATATATTATGTGCTTTGCTATAGGCATTTAGTTTCAACAAATATTAGTACCTACATATGTAATAGCGTCATTAACAACGCGAGAATGTAAACAACTGTCGAAGCCTACTGTTTTTTTCCTAATACTCACCAGGGTATTTATGCAATGTTACTTTAAATGCACTTTCAGACGTGTAAGTGTGGCTTCTTACGAGCAATCTAACAATTTAGTCTTCATCTTCCAGCAAATTAACACAAAGTTGTAACGCACAATGTTATTGGCAGTTTTTTCAAAAAATTGAAAGTAAAAATACACTGAAATGCTTGTTAAGTAATTATTTGTGTCTGTAGTTGATCATAACGCTACAACTATTGTTACACAGACGTATTAGGAAACAGTTAGTCGTGACTACATTTTTTTAATTGTTGTGCCTTAGAAGGTGAAGGCTTTGAACATCGTTTGTTACAAGTTTACATTATTTTCAATGGTTTGGCAAAAGTATTAATTGTTTGTAGGTTTAAATAAAGAAAGAGGAACTTGTTTTTACTTGACATTTTTAGTTTTTACAGTTTTAATTGTCCTTTGAATACTCGGGATATTTAAAATAATCGTATTGTCATATTTTTGTTCCGCGACTGTCATGGTTTGTCACCAAATACAAAAATTAAGTCGTGGATACATTTTTAACAAAAAAAATAATATTTTATACTGAATAATTGTCGATAACGCGTATGTCATTCGATAGATCATAATACAGCTGTTACTACAAATTATTGACATTTACTAATATATCAAGTAATCGGATATTAACAAGGATTTCGCTTTTCCTATCCTGTTTTTCGAAAGTTTTATTACCAATTATAGGAGTTGAATACAATAAACTGAATGTTAAAGATCTTGATTTCTTTACAAGATACTGAAGATGTGTTACTGGTGTAAATAATGAAACGTTGGTGATACTATTATACCTAAATGATAGACCTTCTTTAGTAGAAAAAGTTTTGTTTGAATAGTTTTTCAGTGTTCTTCCTAATTTCCGAAATATTTGAAATTACGCGGATATTTCAATGATGGGTCAAGCGACGAACCTGAATACACTTTTAACAAAGTCGCTCTTTTTTCGCTTTACACTTGTCGAAATGCCGTTTGGGGAAGTGGATAGTTCAAGAAGTACCTATAGAAACATTTTTGTGAGAAACATTTTTCGTTAACGTCTTTATTTTTCGAGTTTTTATAAAAAAATTCGATTCACTTCGGTAAAATTTGCACATTTGAATGACATTTAAACGATAAAAAAAACGTTGTGTTTGTATGACTTTCGAACATGAAAGAAAATACCAATTTAACAATAGTCATTCAGCCACATTTCTAACTTGGGTAATGTTAATTCTTATTAGTTGAACAAATTGTAGTCTGAAGACATTTCGTGATATTGCGGTGCATAGAATAATAAAATAGCGAGGCATTCTATTAAATAAAAGGTTTAGATTTACATATCGGAGCGGTAGGTAATCGCGGTATTGGTGAACAAATAATGCATTTCTTACCTTTGTTTACATTTAAATAATTAAAAGTAGAAATTACACAACAAAATTGCAGTCACGGAATTTAAAAAACGAAAAATACCGAACAAATTAAAATGCCTGTAAACTTAATAATTTTGATATTGAATTTACCTCGCCCCCTCCGGTACCTGGAGGTTGATTTCGTGGGCCTGGTGGAGGAATATAAGGACCTGGTGGCTTAGGTCCCGGTCCTGGAATCTGAGGTGGCCGAGGGGTGGGTCCTGGCGTAGGTCTAGGCCCAGGTCCTGACGGTGGAGGAACATAACGACCTGGCGGTTTCGGTGTTGGTCCGGGAAATGATGGCGGACCCGGTGGCGGATAAGGTGCAGGCCCAGGAAAACTGGGTGGGCGGGGAGTGGGTGGTGGAGGTGCTGGTGGTCGTGGTCCAGGACCTGGAATGGGGGGCAGGTACGGCGGAGGCCTAAAATAAAAACAATTTTTATTGATTGATCTTTGATTGATCTATGATTCTGTTTTACCTTGGAGAAGGTCTAGGTGGCGGTCGTACCGGAGGTCCTACGGGGGGTATTGAAGGTCTGGGTGGTGGATAAACTGGCGGCGGGATTGGAGGTCTTGAAGGCGGTAATGGAGGCCTTGGCGGAGGGGGTGGAGTTGGTGGTCTTTGAGGCGGGACAGGAGGCACGTATATTTTAGGTGTGGGGGCTGGTGGACTAGGGGTTGGTAGTTTAGGAGGTAAATAGGGTGGCTCAGGTGGCGGCTTTTGATGGGGAAAATCGGGTTTTACGGGGGGTAAATAGGCATTTATTCCGGGGGCGATGTCGCACGATACTGTCGTGATGAAGTACCACAGCACCCCAAGTATCTGAAAGGGAATACGATAGGTTAAAATGAGATTTAGATTAAATATTTTCCCGGCGCTGCCACCAAAACTTGATGACAAGTCAAGTACAGGTCTGACGAAGGAAGCTGGCGAGCGGTCGCGCAGGTACTTGCCCATTTATGACCTATTTGGGTAAGTCACTTGGAACCGATACACAAATAAGCTTTCAGTAGGCGTAAATTATAGTATTAATACAGATAGGACAGTAGCGTACTAGAAAATAATGTAAAAACATGACTTA